TGTCTGTCTGTCTGTCTGTCTATCTGTCTGTCTGTCTCTATCTATCTCTCTCTCTGTCTGTCTGTCTCTCTCTCTGTCTCTCTCTCTGTCTCTCTTTCTATGGCTCTATCTGCCTCTCTGTTTGTCTGCCTTTTCTCTCTCTACTCTATTTCTGTATCTTTTTTCTATTTGTCTTATCTCGCTCTCTTTCTTCCTCCTCTCTCTCTATCTCTCTGCCCCCTCTCTCTCTCTCTTAAAATCACACACACAGACAACAATATATGCAAACATACACATTAAATACTCTCACATGCACGCATGCAGCCATATAATCCACTTAGACATAACAACATGCTAATACAGCAGCCCATCCTTATTGGTATGTAGATTTTAGCGCTCTCACTGAAAGAGCTTCAAAACAAATACTTGTGCATAATAATACGAGGGCCAAAATAACAAGGTTCTAACTCGGAATGTTGAGTGGTTGGAGTTTAAGTGTTTGTGATCTACCCCTGTACTCACTTTTCATGATTACGCAAAGGTTAAAACCCGTATCCCTTCATTTTCAGAGATCGAATCATGTTAATTTTGTTTATCATCCGAGGGAGATAAAGTGTTTGAGGAATATGAAATTTAAATATATATCCTCCCCCCCCCCAAAAAAAGAGAGAAAAATATGAGTGCATCTGAATTATTATCTTGTTATTCTTGTTGCTGTTGTAAAATATGAATTTAAAAAATAATGTTTGGTTTTATTCCCGAAAATAAACGGGAATTCCCCTCAAAGCTCTGACCAATAGAAATTATAGTTATCACGTGAAATAATCCCTCATGCAAAGCATCTGAGCGAAAAGAACTTTTTTTCTTTTGGTTCGAACTGCAAAGAAAAATCCTTTCGATGGACTAATTGCAAGGTGTTAGAGAAATACCCTTCTGAATATCGTCGAAACGCTGTGACAGACGAGACAACAATTGAACACAGACTTAAAAAGACAACAAGTGAACACAGACTCAAAAAGACAACAAAAGTGAATACAGACTCAAAAAGAGAACACGTGAACACAGACTCAAAAAGAGAACAAGTGAACACAGACTCAAAAAGAGAACAAGTGAACACAGACTCAAAAAGAGAACAAGTGAACACAGACTCAAAAAG